GAAACAAAACAGAAACATGAATGGCTTGAGGTTTTAGGTGAGACGGTGGGTTTGTGGGTTGACAGGGAGTGGGGGCTGTTCCTGTTCAGGTGTTTGTTGGCATGTTTAGGGGGTGTGGTATTGAAGGGGAGGGCCCTGGTCAGAAAACCTCAAACCTTTCACCTTGTCCTGTACCCCTTGTAAGTAAAACCTGATGTAAAATGCAAGGGCAGTGTGGAGACAGACGCCTATGTAGCTTGAGCTCGGCTGAGTGGACAGATGGATTTAAAGGCATACAGCTTGAGGGAAACAGACTCAACCCCCAAACAGAATCACAAATCCACCTATCCATCATCGTGACAACCTGTGATATCAGCACAACTGCATCAGCCTACACGAAGCTGTAAACGTTGAATCATCGTATACTATAGGGCTAGACAGAAAAGCATACACAGGAGGAAAAAAAAAACAAGGAAATGAACTAGAACAAAAAAAATATTTAGTTTATTAACGATGGTTCCTCTGACCATTTACCACTGAATGTTAAAGGGGAGAGACTATCATAATCTGCATCACAACTCTGTCTGGCTTCACATTCCAGTGGTATTTTGTCGTATAAATGCTTCTCATAAATATTTTTTTTTTTTAAAACGTCAAGTAGACATGTACAGCACATCCAAGCACACTTTTATGTATAAGTATACAATTGCTCATGATAAATCTGTATTCCCGTACTGTGAACTGACCTATTCAAAGCCAGATCAGGTGGAGAGACGAACAATACTCAATGCTGCAAAACAAGGAGGTAGGAATAATGCTACAAAGAAACAAAAACAAAAAGCGAGCAATGCTATGTTTACTTAAATATAGGTGATACACCGGGCTTATTGAACCATGATGGTGCCAGTAGCTGCCATCCCAGTCAGAGCGTCCGCCATTGTTTTCACATCAAATTGGAAAATTAATCTGTTAAAATTCAGACAATTTCAGTTTAAAAAGTGAAACTGTTAAATTGATTCAGTCAGGAAAATGGCAAGTATTTAATAAGCCCACTGTGGTGTATACAAGCATATTAATGGAAGGTTGAAGTCTAGTTAGAAGTTTTGGTTAGATTTACATCATCCTGGTTTATCCTGTCCAGGCATATACAGGAAATGAGCTACAACTAAGGTTAACTTCCATTCTACAAGTATTTTTCATCATTGATTTATATGACCTGTTAAAAAATATTAGCTCTAAGTGTCAAAATCAACACAAATAAAATTCTAATACATCACTCTTAAAGTTACATCTTTATAGTTTCACTTTTTAAACAGAATTTCAGAAGGAAAAAACTTCTGGTTATTGAGATGCACCTGATTCTGACTGGATCAGCAGCTGCTGTGATTTAAGCTGAACTAAAGCTGGCTAATGTGAGCAGAGTAAATTCATTGGTCCTGTTGTCATCCCAGGTCTGGAGACCGCGCTGCTGGTGATGGCATCAACTCCTTTACACACAGTAGAATAGGACATTTGCAGACTTGTAAATGAGGTAATCAGCGTTATGCTAAATAGGGAACCCTGTCGTTGACGCACGTGCTCACTTCATTCACCAGCAAAGCAAAAAAGAAAAAGGGAAGGAAGAGGAAGACAGGACCAGGGAAGAAAAAGCAAAAATCAAATTTGGAATGTCAGGTGGACAAGCCAACTTTTGTTTCCTCCTCCTATGCTTGTGAAGGTGCAACGTGGTAATAATTTGATTGTAATTCATCACTTGCCCTGATTCAGAGTCCTTCCACGTATAAGGGCTCCTTTTAGATTTCCCAGATAAGCCACTCACATTAAAACAGGCGACCTATTGTTCAATTGTTTCAAAATTCACAATAAATTAAGGCTGCCTCTGCAGCAGAGTAACGCCTGCTTAAAGTCCAGTTGATAAAGAGTATTGATAAAAGCTCATTAGTTGCAATAAGGTGGTAAAATCTTCAGTGAAGCAGACTAAAAAGAAGAAAAAAAAATGAAAGGGACTACAAATACTACCAACTAAGATAATCACAAAACATGCAAAATACATCCTACAGCCAAAAAAAAAAAGCACATTCATGGGGGCTTCTAATGGGGCAATTTCTCTCATATGGCTCTGCTTTAGAGTAATCAAGATCGGTGAGAGACTGCTTCTACGATGGACTCTCAGACAGCGAGTCCAATAAGGTGCTCCATCAGAAGAACGCTGTCTTTTTTCACCTGCACACAATACTTGGTTTCATTCATTCATTCATTTCAACAGGGGTGAACCGTAAACACTACTAAGTGTTTCGAACATCGATTTCCTTTGTGTAAACGCATCCCCCTCCCCAGTAACATCTTCTGCTGGTGAAAACAAAACGGCACTTTCAAGGGGAATGTTTCTCTAAAACCACAATCACAGGACCTCAGTAATAGATTCTGATAACACACAGGCTATGGAGCAGGTATAAATCTCGCAAGTTTCACTGTACAAGCTTTAGGCTACACATTAAAAAGGGAAGGGTATGAATATAAAAAACCCTTAATGCTTAACATTGAAAACAATATAAGGCATTTTAGATTTCCTTTATTTTCCTCAATATGCCTAAATATTCTTAAGGAGACTACCAGAGGAGGAACGGAGGATGCATATAACTCATACCTACACATGCAAAGGAACAGGTCTAGTCCAAATTACAATACCATCAAAATCCGTCCATTAAAACAACAAACGAAATTTCAACTTGTGCACGGTCCTGTTAGAGCAGGCAGCGTTTAAACTGACCAGATAATCACAGCTTTAAGGACACACCTCACTTTCAGATGACGCCTCTCTGAATACAAATTAGAAGACCACTGAAATCCTTCATTTGCTACAGATCAGACTTTTGGTCTTTCGACAAAAAAATAAGGGATTGTGAGTCAAACTTTTTTTTTCTCAATCGAGGAAGCGATGATAAACATAAAGGTTATTGCACTTATATCCATTTCAAAACGAGGTCAGCTTGACAGAAGGTTTTCATGCCTTAACGTGGTAGTAAGACAACAAAAGTTACGTCACTTCTAGCATATGGTCACACCGCTTTTAACACTGCACACAGCTACAACCCTATTTCTATTTTAGTCTAACCTAAATAATACAATACTATCTCCACAATCAATTTGCAACAGTCACAACAAACAGTTCACCCTAAAGTCCGATGACAACTTGGTTTGCACTGTGAAGTTACTAATCATAGATGAAAAACCCAGAAGGTCGAGAGGAATAATCAGAAGCAGCTCTGGAATTTCAGACAGCGGTTTCTCTCTACAGTTACTGTGTTTCTAATAATCAAGCCTCGCAATTTCTGCATTTCACATAGAAATGTTCTTTTTTCTTCCTCTCCCTCACATCTTGGCCTAAATTTGGTTTATTTTGCCTCCTATATTACGGAGAGACCTCCGAGCGCCGAGGTGCCTTCTTTGGATTTGTGCTTTCAATCTACAGATCATTTTCCCACGGTTTGATGTGCCCGAACAAAGAAAAAAAAAAAAAAAGAAAAATAAGTCACATCAGTAATGTGCAATTTCTTCTATCCTAATTGTCACAGAAAACGTAGAGAAATCCAAGCTAATCTAGAGGCCGTAATTTAGGCTTAGACTTTTAATCAAAATACCATTTAAAGAGCAAATATCATCAATGAAACAAAGGCCTTTGCAGCTGCTTTTTCAACTATATTCCTTTGCTTTAAGCCATGATAAGCTGCTTCAGTTAAAACTCATTTTCTTTTTTCCCGTGGCTGTGCCAAAAGAATGAAGAAAGCGTGAATATATAACTGAGTGAATAATTTATGTCCGCTCCTTGCAGGGGACTTGACATCGATACTAAACATTTCTTTTCATTCAACAATTAAGAAAATGTTTTGGTTTTATTCCCAAAAGTGAACATTGGTGGGTAAAAAAAAGACTAAAAAGAGTTTGATTCTTGTTAGAATGTTGGGTTGTCTTGCACCTTCTTATCAGAGCAAAAATGTTGGCCATAACTGAAGCAGAAACTTCATCGGCCTGAATGCAACCAGAATTTTAGTAGTTTCTAATCACTCAATAGGGTACTGGTTTGTAAACATTTCCCCTGATTAACTGCTCACTGGATAATTCACCAAATGAACTCAAATTGCAGCTAAAGTCTTAATTGTCTGTTGTCTACCTTGTGCTTACCACCTTTTGTTTTTAAAAGAAATTCTCAAGTCCAGCCATGTAAAAAAGTTATGAGCTACAAGCATAAAAGGGAAAGAGTAAAGTAAGTTGTAAAAATGATGATATATACCCTTTAAATGTCAATGCTCAGAGGGAGTTAAGTTCTGCCTTCACACATGTTCATCGAGTATTTTTTTTTTTCCCCATTGTAAGGCTTCTGGGAAATACAAATGGAAGACCGTACCTTTCGGTAGTAACAAATAAAAGGCACCGTGCCACCTCTGTGCTTGGTATTACACAGGTCCTATTGGTGGGGTAGAGGGAATGAATAACCAGCTATTCAGACTGGGAAGGTGGTCATCTAGTGAACTTGTATTGATTCGACTTGCAGAGGTAAAGTTTTATAGCTACCTTTAACATCCCAACTGATATTAAACTGGACCTTTTCATTCGGACTTGCACCAAATAACAGAATCATCTGTTGATGATAATGAAGGGAAACTGTCTGAAAGGGTTAATATGCACTCAGCTATTAGAGAAGAAGAAGACAGGGCTTGTGCATGTTTAGATATGACATAATTCCATTGAAAGTTGGAAACACTCACACTGCTGTTATTGTGAATAATCTATGACTGACATCGAGGGGGAGAAGAAAAAAAACAAAAAACACACCACACAATCAATGTCAGCATCATCACACAAAAGATTACTGATGAGGTAAAACTGCAGGTCCAATAAAAAGTACAAGGTGCAGTTGGCTGCCCATTCGCAAAGGTAGGAAACATGAGACATCTGCCAACGCTGATCAAACGCTTCCGCATAGATCATCAGGTTTAGGCTGGTTTAAGCAGTATTACACAACCCACAAGATGGATTTACAACTTTTTTTTTTTTTGTTTTTTTTTTTTTTACTCTTTGTTAGCATAGCTGTACAAGCATCCTTCCTGTCTTAACATTTTATTTTGAGGTACACAACATCAATTCCCAGTGTCACTTGGCTCTGGATAACAGAGAAGCCATAGTTTGATTGTTTACAAGTGAATTCTGAATTCATTCACAGTGGAAAATATGGCGAAATCCCAGCCTCTCAGAACAATCTCATGGCAACCTTGAGATGCTACCTTAATTTATCTGTGTGCTTCTCGACTGCGGGACCTGAAAGTAGCCAATTTCTAAGCAATCAAAGCAAGTAGCATAACTCTATAGGAGATGTTACGTCTGGTGCTGCCAGGTTTTATTTTCTGTTATAGCATTTTAAGGCAAAAGGCTCAACAGTGGATCAGAGTTGAATTGAAATTTGCCATTTACTTCAAGTAAAAACCAAGACATCCATTGAGGCAAATCAATTCGGTATTGTATACTATGCTTTTTTTTTCTTGGACATCAAAAATGTTGTTTTTTTTTGTCTTTGTAACACACAATATAAACCACCTTGTTGAACACACAAACAATGGATTGCTTTCAATACTAAAGGGACTACCTATATTCATAAAAAAAAAAAAAGTCAAATTATAAAATAGAATTATACCAACACTAAGATTTAACAGAATGTTTGTTTTTAAATATTTTCTCATGCACATGTTTATATAGTCTTCTTTTGAGTAATATAACTGGCCTAATGACATGCAGCTCAGAGAAAGAAAAAAAACTTCCTGTATAAGTTTGAGGAAGTTACTGACCGAGCAAATGTGATTCGGGTCTAAAAGGCAAATCAAGGTTTCTATGGCACTAAATGGGTGTAAATTAGGTGCGTTTTGTCAAATATAGGCTATTAATGAGTATGTGTCGCATCTACTGTAGACCTTTTTTTGTCCCTCTTGTTTTACTGTAGTGTAAGGCAATCTCAATGGAATGGATGACTTTTAATGATAAATCTACACTGGTATAATTTAGGCGTCATTTTCTATACAGCTGCGTTATTTCCACTATAGATACCTAAAGAGGGGATAAGAAACTAAAAAAAAAAAAGAACATACCAACATATCCAGATCTCCAAAGCAGGAAGACTACTACACATACATAAGAATAATCAGAGAGTTATATTTCTACATGCTACTGGTTTATTTATATCTACGCAAGACAAATGAAGAGAGACAGTTTAAAGTCTGGAGAAAGCAAACTGTCGTGCTCTGAACTGACCTCTACATTCATTTCAGTCAGTAAATTCATGGCTCAGATTTGATGGTCAGACTGTAAACTGCTTGAACATATGCATAAATCCACTGCTGCTCAATAGAGAGGCGTTCCCCTCCTTCCTCTCTCAACACATTTTGGCAAACAGGCCTTATTTTTGATAAAATATGACATCTAACCCGCATTTGAATCTTCCATTGGCATTGATGCTATGATTTACTGAATTGGCCTAAAATGGATGGCAGTGCAATTTTTGTGCTGCACACTATTACACACTCACACACGCGCTATTGCTACAATTGGACCTTTCATTGTTTTCTCTTAACTAATATATTGTATAGTATGCTTTCAGCTATATCACAGCTGTGACTAAGCTCCATGCACAATCACTGGTATCCCTGGTACACGAAAAAGTAAAATGAGATCAAAGGAGAAAAAAAAGAAGCATGTATAACAAAGGGAAAAAAAAAATCACATCAAGCGTCATTGCACAGGGCAACAGCTCCTTTTACTACACAGATAAGGACATTATGAGAGAAAAAAAAAACTCCCTGCCTAAAACCAGGCCCGCCTGACAGCACCTACAGATGGCAGAGTTGATATGGAGAACATTTAGTGAAGCCCATCTGCCTGAGGTGTCGCTTTAATCTCAGTAGTGACTTTACAAGACTTGGGCCAGAGTCTGTATTGTTTACAATAGGCTGGGTGATGGGAAGAGATAACACAAGTCATCAGGCAGTGGACACTGTGCCCAAGTGCTAAATAAAACCCACCCTTTCTTTAATATATATAGCTTTAAATAATGCATGGTTGGAGTACAATTTAGTTGCAGCCTTTGCTTATTTTCTTCAGCTTTCTCATCATTTCCTGTATGCAGCAGCAACACATGCATGTAAACATAAGTACATACAATAAATCTGCTCTACTTTGCACACTTAGAACCTGAACGTACTAAAGTGCGTGCTTGACTATGATTAAGTGCTGTAAGATTATTATTTTTTTTATTGACTTTTGGAACTTCTTGGCTTAATAACAAAATTTAGACTTAAGAGGTCTGATGGAATTAAGAAACTCACCTGCTGCTTTAGCAGGAATCCTGAGAGGAACAGTAAAAATATGTACCTACCCTCAGTGCTCAAAAGGGGGGTTTTCAACAAAATGGTTCCAGTGCTCAACCTGAGCAAGGTTTACATCTCATTCAGTCTATTCCTGATCTTCCATCACTTTTATCTTTAATTTTCTAGGTTGATCTCAGAAAGTATAACTAGACAAATTACATTTACCTCTTTCCTTAACAGTGCAAACATATACCACCATGTTAATTGAGCAACTCCGGTTTAAGATTAATACCGGCAGGAACTGCAGTTAGCGAGTAGAGCATGATTTCTTAACCGTATCCAATTACAGCAAAAATACGTTTAATGACCAATCAGGAAATAAGAGTTTAATATATTTAAGAGAAAAGGTCTCATTTGCCGCCTGTACCTATAAACAATCTTTTACTGTTGAAGCAAAGGTCTTTTTTTTTTTTTTTACTGCTTCTGATCAAAGAGCTTCTTTTATTTCAGTTGGTGCAAATAACAAACCAATTAATCATTTACAGATCGAGAGCTGGGAGGGTTTGATTCACAAATAACTGGTGCCAAATAAGCAACAGCAACAGTTTAGCACTGGAACTGGTTTTCTGGAAAAGCCCCAACTAACATTACAGCCTTTCTAAAAGGAGAACAAATCTCCTGTTTCAGTCAGTTATTGAGGTTGAATAAAGTATTAATCTACAGCTCTAACTCGAGACTGCTGCTCTCTAAAGTATGTTTGTCAGTTTAAAATACAAAACAAAATCAAGTTTATTACGCAATGTGAAAGCATGTTTTCCTTAGTTAAGTGTATTCAACAACAAAGCCTAGTCTAGGTCCTCTCCTCTTGTCAAGTCAAATAAACGTGTGCAATTGTGCCACTTCAATACCAGTGGACACCAAGGAAACCCATCTGACTCGGTGTAAGCTAACCACCGCCAGACGGCTCAACAACTAAATAGCATAGATAAAACATCTAAGAGTCACCAACAGCTCTAGTGGTCTGTTACAATCATCTTTAGTATGCTTAATACCAGAAAATGGGATGAGGAGGCAACAAAATTAATACAAATAAAAAAGCACATATTTGGATTTCTGCTCTTCCTGAAATCTAAACAGGGACTGGCCAAGGCAAAGATGTTCCTTCTCTTCTTAGCCCTATTTTTTTTTTTTTCCCCTCAGAGAGATAATGACTTCCCCGTTTTACCAGCAATGCCAGAGAGTAAAGATAAGCCAAGCATTTATTTATGCATTTAAAACATTAGATACGATGGTGTAGCTGTAGTTAAACGCCGCGGCCATTGGGTGGGCGGCAACATAATCGCTCTCAGGGCTCGTCACCTTCTGCCACTAAGCAATCCAACTGAAATGAAGCGTCGTAGAAGGCATGGGTCAAAAGGCATTTCTTGAGATGCCACAAAGGCAATCCAGTGCATTTAGGTTGACACTGACAGTAAAATGCCCGGCACGCACAGAGCCATTCGTTTAGTCTTTAGGTAAAACAAAATGGGGAAACAAAACAAAAAAAGGAAACCAAAAACACATTCTAGGGAAACAAAAGCCCTTGACAGTGATTGTCTATTTAATAATGCTCAACAAAAAGGCAAAAAGAAAATATTGCTTGGAAACTGCCAAATAATAATAAAAAGAAGACTATTTTTTCAAACTAATCATCTCACCACCAAGAAGCTGTGATGTAGATTTTTAAGACAAATTCAATAGCTCCATGAAATACTGTTAGCGAGAGCTAACGCGTTAATGGCCAGCCGATAATTTAAAGACACATGCACTGAAAAAAATTAAAATAAACAAAAAGGAAAAAAAATCGTTAGTGCCTAAAAATGAGACTGATTGCTATTTTTCAGTAATCAGGCATTTTAAATTGGGAAATCTTCTCTGGAAAACACTGTTAAAGAGATGGGAAATAAATTGAAATGGCTTGTTCATTTATGTGCTCAGATAAAAGATGCTTCGATGAGGTGTTGTTGGCAGATATTACTAGTAAAGCCTTCATCTAGAAATAAACAAGGCCTCAGTCAGTCACTATCCTACAGCAGTTCTCTAAGTCTTACAAAAAAAAAGAAAATATAGAAGAGAACGTTAGGCCTACGGACCCTGGGTGAAGATGAAGCAGCTGCTAAACGAGTTGACGAGGTATATCAAGATCTACTGTCTTTCTCTATACAGTACAGTTCATCTCAAATAAATAATTTATAGCCATAGTAGTGTTGATCAACTTTGGTCATAACTTATATGCTTAGAAACATTCTAGCTTAACGAACACTTATTTAGCATCTTAAAAAACCCCAACAAAACAGGGCCAGCACTCAGAACTTTAGGATGTTATGGTGCTGACCCCTAGAATGGCTCTCCTTTGGAAGGAGACATGCTAATGAATTCAGCAGCGTTTACCAAATCATCTTAAAATGCCAAACAATTCTAGGCCATAAGTTTAGAGTAAGCTAAAGATTTAACAACTTTATGACCCTTTTCTCCTAATTTCAGATTGTACTGTAGTACAAAAAAGCATTGCACTCTGAAGCAAAACCTTTGACTTTCCCTTGTGTGGTTCCTTCATAAAAATCTAGGCTAATAGACAAAAAAAAAAAAAAACAAACAAAAAAACTCTTTGATCATTCTTTTGGGAAGGCTGTATGATCCTCTACAAGGTCACCTTATTGGTTAAACATGATATGACTTCTATTACATGATATGAAGGAAATGACAGCTGATAGAGAGACCTCCATGCTCTGAAAAGCTGGTTATATTGTCAGCAGGGTTTTAAAGGGTTAAATAATTTAGAGATGGCCAGATTGCTAGTGTTTATCTTAAATGCCTCATCTTAGTGACCTTGTAGAGTGATCTGCCTCTTTGCATTAAGCACTACCAGGAGATGGAGGAATGGGATCTAATTGCATAATAGGTTTGACTGCACCTCAAGAGAAGACCAAACGCTCACGCAGACAAACGATCACGTACATACAGAGAAAAACAGACATGTGGGTGGGTGCTCTTCTGGTCCTCTTGACCATGTTTAAGGTAGTCGCCCCCTGGTGGTGGTGATGTTGATAGCAGCTGACCGAGTTTGAAGAGGGTCAGGCGACCTCACTCGGACAGACACCCGTCCAGGCTGACCGGTGCACCATGGCGGTCTTTGACGTAGCCGTTGTGGAGGCCATTGCTGGGAAGAGGGGAACAGGCGGCGGTGATGCCGCAGTGCTTCAGCAAGTTGAGACCCGCGGAGGAGGGAACGGTGGGCGAGGAGGAGGAGCAGGAGGAGGGGTCCCGCTGAGGGAAAGGCTTCATGGTAGACAGGATCAGAGCCAGGCAGTCGGCCACATCCTTGTTGGGCGCGCAGGCCAGAGCTGGGGTGTGGCCTGAACAACGGAAAACAATCAGGGTAAGTAAATCACATGGATTCATTTTTTGGGGGCAACCAATTAACCCACAGAGTAAGTTACACTTTTTGATCAGTTGCATACCCCTTACAAATGTAAACCCCCCGATCCCTCAGTGAGGCCTAGAAGCACAAGATCTATATCCAGCCATTCAGTAACAATACAGCTCCATAGCTGTACATCTCTTTTTGGCATTTGACCAATTAGATGAGCCCTTGAATGATATATTACCTCCTAATAATTAAGTTGAAAAAAAGTAAAAAGCCAATTGAAAAGTTAAAAAGTTAATAAGCCGAGTTAACAATCATATATAGGGTTATAAACTAAAAAATGTCAGAGCCAGTGTTTTTCATGATTTTCCTTTAGAAGCACTTTTATTATTTTTCTTAATATATTTGGGCAAGTTGGCGTTTCTTGTTATTACATTGACATAAATTTTTGCAATCAAAATATCCATATTTTTTGGAATGTTACAAAGTTAATAAGGTCTTATCCTGGATAAATCCTTTTGTATCTCTGTTTCTTTTTCTATGTCTGCTTCTGTCTCCTTGAATCCCAGTCGGCCACAGCAGATGGCCGCTCACACTGAACCTGGTTCTATTGTAGGCTTCTTCCTGTTAAAAGGGAGTTTTTCCTCTCCACTGTTGCTAAAACCATGCCTAGTTGAATTGAATTGATTCCAATACTATTGGCTTGAAATTTTTGATTTTCCAAGTATTTCACCGAGTGCCCTATAAAGGGTTAAAGATTCTTACACCCAGCAAAAAAAAAGGTATAAAAAAATAAAAAATAAACCAAAGTGATTTAGGCACTTAAGTAGGATGCACAGTCACTATGTTCTGATCTGGTTCTATCAAAAGAACCAACTTTGTTTTTTCTCCACAGTAGAAGTCCAACTGTTTGATGCTCCACCTGTTTTATTTTGTTATTTCTTTAGGGACCGCAGTACAGAGACAGCTTAATTAGACAAATGCTTTAATGTGTCCCATTATGAATATTTTCAGTAACCCTGAGCTGCTGACCTCTGATTTTCTGTAGTCCTGTAGAGAGGCGTAAAACAGTATTTACAGCAGGGTTTAATAACACCATCTGACCTAATTATAAAACTGCTGTTATTCAAGAATAAACCCAGCAATCTCACTTCAGTAGAAAATAGCAGTTGTGTGTGAAATGCTCATGGGTGACTGAAGTACAACAGCGATGACGATAACACACAGAACTCGTGACTTTCAATATTTTTGGCCATATTTTTTCCCCAGTGTTTAAGGCAAACAAACAAAAATGTAGCATTTAATGCGACTCAGCTAACGAAGAGTTTTGAAGAATAATGGAAAATGTTGTATTAACCGTAAATTATTTTTCCTCTCTGACCTTTATCACATGATGAAGTAGCCTACAATGACTGTGCTCCAACCAATAACTATTGCACATGCTTATATTGCATGATGAAGTTTTCACAATATATTTTACAGTTTTAATTTACATGTTTCTACAAAATTTGTGGGGTTTTGGGAGTCTTAAATTAGGGAGATTTAAAGTAAGAAAAGTTTAGAAAATGCTGCTTAAAAGATTTTGATTGGCTGTTGTACATCATGAGCCAACCTCCTGACACAAGAACCAGGGGTTCTAAAATTGAGTAGGCTTTTAACATCGTTCTCCTTTAATCTAAGGGTTTTGGAGAAAACTTTGATATGCACTGCAAAGTTTGAGACAATATGATTAAATTCCCTGCCAACATAACGTTTTATTATGTACAACTCTTCATGTACCAATGAGGACTATAGTACCAAACCTTTTCATCTTTGACTTTACCCTAATAAATCTACAAAAACAGGAAATAAAAAAAACAGGTAGCATAAAAGCTAGGAAGTTTCTCACCTTCCTCATCCACAGCAAGCACTGTAGCTCCTCTACTCAGCAGTGCCTGCACCACCGTGGCCAGGCCGTTACGAGCTGCAAGATGGAGGGGCCTGCACAAGACAAAGAAAAAAATAAAAAATAATAACAGATCAGACAATCACTGGCATGAAAACCTAATTTCAACAGTATCTTAATTAAAAGATGCATCAAGAATTCAAAGATGAGAATACTTTAATTTATGGCTTTACTATAAAGAAAAAATATTCTGGTAAGATGATTTAAACGCATCAATTATTAAAAACCTGACACCACGGTTGGACTTTTAATGACCAACACAAATAAATGTCCTTAGCTGTGCAATTATATGTCTGGGTGGAAACATCATGGCTTGATGTCAACATATTATTTTTCTGCTAATAGCAAATCTATTTAATTTAGTCTGATAAAAATTAAAGAGATTCAGATCGATCACATTAACTTCAATCACTGCTACAAGCTCTAAGATGGTGTGTGTGTGTATATATATATATATATATATATATATATATATATATATATATATATATATATATATATATATATATATATATATATATATATATATATATATATAGCAACATTTGTTGTCTTGTTATTGCAATATTTGCCTGAACTGTTTTGTTATATTGTTTTGAGCTGCTGAAACTGTCAAGGGTACACTTGAGGAATTGTGACAAAAAAAATTCTGATTTTAATTCTAAGCTAAACATTTCTATATGTTGTAAAAATCACTTGTAATGCAACAGTGCACAGTTGGCTAGATAGACATTAAGAATATTTAATTGTAGACTCATTTGTGTTATTTTTTACATATTAATAAAAAAATAAATAAATAAGTCATTGCAAAATGAAACAATTTGTTACGTTCTTCTACCTTAAACTGAAAAACAGAATTTCCTTAATCCAAATGTAGATTTGTACAAATTCTGAATAACAATTATCCTTAAATTTAAAGGTGCTGTTTAGATGCAGAATATAAAAGTGCTTTAAGAGAACCAAGTGACTAAGAAGTGCCTGCGTCATCAAAGCGTCATCAATGTTAGGAAAAATGTAATGAAAAAAACTGGCCAGACGCATCACTTTTTATAGATGGGTAACTTTTTTTTTTTTACAATGCAGAGGGAAATCAAACTACGTCATGAGACCTTATAGCAAGATAAGGTTGAAGGCTGTCCAGTGGTATTTTATATTCTGTTATGTAATAGTTTAGAAACTCAGAGTTCTTACATTTGCAGAGCACTGTTGGTGGCATTTATGAGAGTGGGGTTGTGGATCTCTCCCAGAATCAGCAGAGCGCACATCTCATGGCCCTGAAGACAAACGGTAAATAAAAGATGTATAAACTTATTGTCACCTATCTACTAAGTAATAAAGACAATCTTAAAAAGAATAAGAAAAGCAGGATTAAGCAGATATAAACAATGTGTACCTTGCTGCAGGCCAGGTGCAGGGCAGTGTTCCTGTTCTCATCCAGCAGTGTCAAATCAGCCTTGGCTCGGTGGAGGAGGATGGCTGAGCAGCAACCAAAACAAAGACATTTAGAACAGCCATTAGGATAGAAGACTGCAGCATCAAATAGGTTATAATTCCCAAGCTTTATGTCTGCAGCAGAATGAAACATTCCTACAAAACCGCAACAATAACATAAAGCTGTGCAAAAAAATGTGGACTAAAGGAGTCATCTGGGTTAAAGCTGTATTCTCGATCGACTCATTTAACAACCCTACTCCCTCCTTACTAGATTTCAAATGTTTAAAAAAACACTATCTTTGGTAATTACTATTTTTTTTTTTATATTTTATACATTTTTTTTTATATTCTATATTTTTTATTTATTTTTAGATACAAGAGCCTGAATCTAAAGAATCTAGGGTTAATTCATATCAATGATTACAGCAACTAAAATAATGCATTGACAGTGACTGCCAAATAGATTCTCATTTTGGACAAATTGTCAGAAATGTTTTTCCTACATCACTAGTTACCTAAATTGTGTTATTGTACAGACACTGTACAGTGGTCTAAATTATTTAACTTATCACCAGTAAATTTTATTGCTTTGATAATTAAACTCCTAAATACTACCTAAAGTTGTGACAGCGGGTCACTCAGTATTACTACACTTTAAATAAAAATCGAAGCAGATGGTTAGCAATAGGTACACTAATAAATTGGACCTTCTACACTTAAAGTTTTGTAAAGGCTGAATATAGCTACCTTTTGCAAAAGTACATAAATTTAATAAAAGGATCTTGTATATTTAAAAATACAAAACTTGTTTAAATTTTATGAAAGGAAAAAAAATTCTGTTAACAAAAACAGCCTCTTGAGACACAAGTTATACAAAAATTCAGAACGACATGCGACAAACTCTAGTAGTTATTTTGTGTTTAAAACTAAAAATGCAAAAAAATAAATAAAAAATTCAGAACAAAATCTGAAGCTTTAGAAAATTATTGTACATACAGATATGTTTCCGGGTAGAAATATAACTAAAAGAAAAAATAATGATGAAATAACAAACGTTATTAACAGCAGGTCAAGGAAAATTGAGACTCACACACAGTGCCGCTAAGTCCCCTGTCAGCAGCTACCATCAGAGCAGAGCGTCCACTTGTGTCCACGGCGTTGATCTCTGCCCCGTGGCGAAGCACCAGCTGAAGTCCTGCAACATCCTCAGAAAATGCAGCTGCATGCAGGGGGGTCCTTTAAGAAGAGGCGGAGACAGAACAAGATGATAAGCAAAGTAATATCTGAGGTTTGTCTATAATCGGGACCAAACATGTGTATCTTCTTCTTTGCCCAGTTGAGTCATTTTCACACATGATCCAGAGCCCAAACAACTGAGCACATCTTTAAAAAAATCAGCACCACTAAATCTCTTACTAACAAATGTAAAAATATGTAGAGCACGTAATTGCACATCCCTTTTCTCCTCCACCCATCTACAGCCTTCAAATTACATCCAAAACAGTAAATGTGGGAAAGCAATATAATAAAAACTGAAATTCAGTTTCCAGGTGCAGGTGCATTATCAGAGGCAATCAGTTTTTAGAACTCGACATTAATAAGGATTATACATGCCTGTATGTTTAACTTAACGCTAATAAATACACACCTTCCTTTGGCGTCTCTGGTGTTGATCATATGGACTCCGGCAGATTCCAGCAGCCTCTCTGCAGCGCCGCTGTGGCCGTTCATCCTATGATGAAGTCAGTCATTTTAACCACAGACTTTCTTTGTGATCAAATTATTCCAACTTTAAATGTGACATTAATACTCACAGAGCACAGTGCAGGGGAGTGAAAGGGTTTCCCTCTTCATGAATAAGTGTTTTAAATTCAAGTAAAACCTCCAAACAGTCTTCATGCCCTGAGAACGAACAACACATTAGCACAGATGCAATAACTGAGACATCAATATTTGGAGGTTCTCCACTCAGCTAACCTTTGTAGGCAGCCCAGTGTATTGGGGTGTATTGTTTGTTGTCCAGCAGTTTATCCTGTGGGTCAGTTGCCACGGCGGCCTGCACCAGACTGGCCAGTATGTCTGTGTGGCCTCTGGAGGCAGCATAGTGCAGCGGTGTCCTACCCTGGGCGTCCCGACATAACGGAGAAGCTTTGTGCTCCAACAGAGCTGCTACACAGTCATCATGTCCCAAAACTGCCTGCATGAAGACAAACGACACAGATGATTAGATCTATTGTTTCCAGATCTCAAAACATGCAAAGCTGTACCAAAATTTTAACTTTTTAAAGCTTGAGAAATACTTTTGATTACATGGCATCCCTAGGATCAGTGTTTCTTTTTATTTTTTATTATATTTCTCCTCTGAGGCAGCTTGGGTGGAGCTTTATTTTTCGATATTTGAAGGGACCTAATCTGACCAGGTTGCCTTAATTATGTGAAAGGACAAAGTAATCCATGATGGGGTAACATGGCTGCAAATTATGGAGGGGCTTAAATCAGCTCCAATCAGCAGCCGATGAAACACAACTAAATAAAGATTTTTTTAAATACACACTTACTGGGAACTATAATTATGAAACTAACATTGCTTAGTTTGGTTACTGCATAAAAAAAATCCTGGTAGGAACCCTGAAGGCATCTTTTAAAAACAAAAACTGTAAAGCTTCCTGTCAGGTTAGCAGGACACATATTCATCTTTTAGCCTCTCCTTGTCCTCCAACCGCAGTTAGAAGATACCAAACCCAATTAAGTCGGATTAAGTCGGTTAAGTCGGAATTTTGTTTGAGAGCACTGCATTTTAAACATACCCCTCTGTGCAAAGCCGTGTGTCCTCTCTTGTCCTTAGCGTCTGGTTGAGCACCTTTCTCCAACAGGAAGTGAACACAATCAGAGTGACCTCCCAGAACAGAAAGCATTAAAGGGGTTCTGATGGGGAGAAAAGAAAAAAAAAAAAGCAAGTTTAAGTGTGTTCAGTAAGCAAGATATTTCATGGAAATAAAAAGGTTATTTTTCGGGTTGTCATGTGGAAAAATGTGTATGTCGTATGAAAGCTTGTTTTTTGTGTGTGACATTTTTAGAGATGGGACAGCCATTCCACCGAACAGAAAATACTTTACACACACCGGGAATTCAAATTAAAGCCAACATCATGGTCTGAACATCGATCCACTTTATCCTTACAGTAGACTGCATTGCGCTTTAAGACTTCAGCAAAAACAAAAAAAACAAAACAAAAACAAACATCACTGTTGGTGTTAAAGTTCCTTACCCTAAAACCAGAAAAGAATTGCACTACTTTAGCTTTTATTGCGCTTTTTAAAAAAACATGAAAAGACACAAAAAGACCAGGACTTGTGAAACAAATGTCTTTGGGTCGATGAATCTAGAACAGAACTAAAACACCAGAAGAGAAGTCATGTTTGGTGTAAATCAAATGCAGCTTCCCAGGAGAAGAGCATCACACTAGTAGTGCAGCATGAAGGTAGACGGGACACGGTTTGGGGAATCTACACTGTAGGACATGACCAAATCTACAGCAAGGACTTACCATGACTATTACCATAAACTAAATGAAGCCTGATAACAAAATGGGATTTATAACAAAAAGGCAGTGACAGTAAAACAACCAAGATCTGGCCAAGTCAAAGCCCAGATATGTAAACCAAAGGACACAGCATCAGCTATTAGGGTAAAGGGTATCCCTTTAAAAACCAAAAAAAGATTCATTCAACCACAATTTATTTGCTTATAAACAAAAGAAACAAGACTAAGATAGAACGTCAGATATCGATATGTGAATATTTAATCTGGTGAAATAACATTTTTCCCCTCAAGACTGTAACATTGACTTAGATAATACATCTAAAAGAAAAAGAAACTTACTGGGCAAATTTATCCACGATATTGATGAGATCCCCCTCCTCTCCGTATTCAATCATCATGCGCAGGCAGTCAGAGTGGCCATTTGCAGCTAGCGTCACAAAAAAAAGAGGATAAATAAATAAAAATATAAAAAAACTAATGTTTGAAAACTATGTAAAAGGAAGCTTTTAGTTTTTGTGAAAATACCTGCAACATGAATTGGAGTCCACATAAGATGGTTGTCATTGAGCAAACAGGATGCCCCCTGAGCTAAAAGCACCTCCACACAGCGTGCATAGCCTTTCTGAGCTGCCAAATAGAGCACAGAGCGGCCAGCAGCATCCTGCATGTCCACATAAGCTGCCGTCTCTGTGAGGACGCGTAGGGCCTGCCAGTGGCCTCTATCAGCCTGCGCCAGGGGGGATGATAATTAGCCTCAGTTCTGTATTTAGTTAAAATTTACAGGCTCATTACAAACAGAGAATTGTGTAACACTTACAGCAAGATGGAGAGGACTGACTGGGATGCTGCTCTCTATGTCTCCAAGTGCATTAAATGACATCTCCAATAGCTAAATGTAAGAGATAGCAGATAAAGCAAAACACACACATTTACAACAGAGGAAATAAAGCAGAAACACAAACAGACTTAAATGTGGCAACTTTTTTTACTGGCCGAAAACGATTACCATTTACATATGTGTTATTATCATGAGTAAAGAATTTTATATTAGTTTATACATAAGACTGGACACCCCTTTGTGAAGCGCATTAAGAGCCTGCAATCATCACAGAACAATCGCAGGAGCGGGATAAAACAGTTCTTATGCTTGGAATAAAAAATGCTAGCAGTTCAGTTTGATTGAGAGCCAACAAAGATAATAGGGGGTTTTCAGTGACGTCACTGGCCAGCGTCCGGTCCGCCATCTTGGGTGGCATATTATCGTATATCATATATATCATGTCGCGAATGGATAAGTATGCCAGCACGCTAGAGCCACCAGATCATGGAACATATCTGAGAAAATGTTCCGTGATCGACCATATGGACCCCTATGCCCTCCACGGTGCCTTGTTTAGCACTAATCCAGATGATTGGCCAAATGTAGAGCAAGGAGACATAGTTCATTACCCGGTGTTCAGTGAAAACCCTCTGCACACTCTTGAGGAAATGAGAGCGTGCAAGGGTCTAGAGGCTCACAACCAGTTCACATCTGGTTGGGTACGAGATGTCGAAGTGATGTACATGAAGGAAATCGCCATCATACGTGGACGGGTGAGTTTTAATAAGATGGTAAAAATGTAAACAATCCGACGCAGGGCTCGCTATGCTAGGTGGCTAACGCCGGCGGTGCGCGAACAGTTCCAAAGCTACAAGTCCTTGGAGTCTCATGTGCAGTTTACGAAAGGATGGGTTCAGGAGCAGCAGCTCATAAAGCCAGCAAACAGTGCTAACCGTTAGTGCTAACAACCACTCAGGCATATAATGTACTATTAACTAGGGATGGGGATCGTTAATATTTATTGATATCGATACCTTTATCGATACTCCTTATCGATCCGAGTCTTTATCGATACCACTATCGATACTTTTCTGTTATTTGGTGGAAAGACGATGCGACAATATGTTTTTAACAGACAGAAAGGAAGTGGGGAAAAAAATTTTTTGAAGAAATGTCCTATATTTTGAAGAAAGGTCTTCTTTTGGTTTAAAAAAAATATATACATTTTCACAATTGTTGGTTAATGTATTGTCTACTGTCACTTTTCATCATGTTTTTAGTGATTAGGAAAATATTTAGCAAATAAATAATCATATTCTAAATTAAATGTAATTTTTAATAAATGTTGGCATCAGTAGTTTAATTATATATTCTAAAATAATTAGAGCAATTTAGAACTTTATTACTCATGTTTCTCGCCAAAAACTCAATTTCCCTTTTCTTTACGTTGCACTTGAACGCATCAATGATAACCTAATTGTCGTTTTACTGAGCCAATCTGAACACATCATCACGCAGCACGTCTGAAACTTTATTTACTTTTCAAGCTAACTAGCTTATATGCTGCCGATTACAACACGGATTTCACAATTACTATTTTTAACTGACCGGACAAGCTACAAAGTCTGTGTGCACGCTTACCAGCGGTACTCTGAGTGGATGATGAATACGGGCCCGACAATGGTGCGGCAGCAGCAGGAGGAGGAGGAGGAGGAGTCTTTTCAACCCGGAGACAGTCGAAGGTACTGCATTTGGCCTTTATTTGATGCACAATATTAATGTGCTTGGCCATTGAGGTTGTGTTCCCCCCTTTAAAAGAGATGATTTTGCAACATAAGTTGCATTTTGCTTCTTCTTTATCGTTGAGCTTGGTAAAATGAAGCCAAACTTTAGACCTTTTCGTCCGTTCAGCCATCCTCGAGTCGCGAGCGAATTTAAAGGAATAGTACACCCAAAACATGATTAGCCTTCATTTTCTACTCACCCCCATGCTGAACAACACTCTGGAGTACTTTTTTGATATCTCAAATGCATCTGGAGATCTGGGAGGCTTCTTGCTGTCTGCTGACATTCAAATAATGGAGGTCTATGGCGCCCGAGACAGAAAGGTCCACAAAAGTCCACAAAAACTTGTCAATATTCCTCCATAATGCTCGTCCAATGTAATCCAAGTGTCCTGAGTGGGTAGCATCCAGAATTTACTCGAAACGAAGTCATTTAGAACGTTTTAGAGCCTAAACAGTAGTGTATAGGATTTCCTAATAGCGCCCCCATGCGCGCTCACGATTCTACGGAAGCCGGCAGACCAAACCAGCGCATTCAGCTCGGCAAAGAACTCATGCTCTTCCTCAACACTGAAGTCCTCAGACATTTTTCTTTCGTTGTTTCTTTCTTTGCACAGGTAAACAGCACATTTCTTCTTCTACGCTTGCATTATCGGCAGACCAGACGCTGAATGCGCACTTCCTTCCGGTTTGGTCTGCCGGCTTCCGTAGAATCGTGAGCGCGCATGGGGGCGCTATTAGGAAATCCTATACACTACTGTTTAGGCTCTAAAACGTTCTAAATGACTTCGTTTCGAGTAAATTCTGGATGCTACCCACTCAGGACACTTGGATTACATTGGACGAGCAGTATGGAGGAATATTGACACGTTTTTGTGGACTTTTATGGACCTTTCTGTCTCGGGCGCCATGGACCTCCATTATTTGAATGTCAGCAGACAGCAAGAAGCCTCCCAGATCTCCAGATGCATTTGAGATATCAAAAAAGTACTCCAGAGTGTTGTTCAGCATGGAGGTGAGTAGAAAATGAAGGCTAATCATGTTTTGGGTGTACTATTCCTTTAACTGCCAGACTTCACTTGTTTTACTTTTAATATCTGTTTGCTTACAATTTCATTCCAAAACATTGGTGGACATGCTGCAGTGATTGGATTGATTAGATTTAAATGCTGTGACGCGACTCGAGACACACACAATTATGTTACAGGACCTCCGGGAGAAAAAAAAAAAAAAACGACCAGACTCGATAGCGGTATCGATAAGCCCAAACGTTATTGATTTTCGGGTTTTGAAAAAAGTGGAACCGGGTCCTCGATAGAACCGGGTTTCGATCCCCATCCCTACTTTTAACTAGCTGCTTTGTGTTTCAAAGGTTTGGTTAGTAACGTTTACTGCCAAACCTCCCTAAACCCTCCGGGTTTCTCACATATTTGAGCCTTTTCCCGCTGGTTGAAATCAAGTTAAGGTGAAATTAATCAAATTAAAACACGGCTGAGAGAGGGAGTCCAGTACGCGGTAGTCATAAGCAGTAGTCTGAGTAGCGGCAGCGGAGGCAGTCAACATTGCGGCCACGGAAAGTAATACGTCATGACGCCCAAGCCCTATTATTAATATATTCTTACATGTTTTAAATGCTTGACAGTTAATTACCTGTGACAAAGTGAGCACTGCAGACTCTGGCGTATTCCAGCTTAACACCGTCCAAATCGGACCTGGATATCCGTGTCAGCCATAGGTGACGGCGTTGTTCAGATAGCTGTTTTGTTTTTTCACATTGATTCACGATTACGGCTGGTATGCGATAGAAAGAGCGTTGATCTCCACCTCCACGGGCCGTGCAACCAACAATTACACACGATTTCACCATTTTTCACTGTCAATACTGCCTAAAGCTGCCACCCAATATGGCGGACGCGCTGAGTAGTCACGTTAGCGTGACGTCACATGAAAACCCCCTATTTGTAGACGACAAAAGACAACCAAACCAGAGATATCAAAAAACATTGAAATAAGCCTTCTCTATGTGGAAGGAGCTTAAGGAGAAAGATTTAAAAATGGATGCCAAAGTTACCATGTTTCTCCTTGACAAGTTAACTGCACAAGCCTGATAAACCAGACTAAATGTGAGATTAAATGTGTAATTTAGTCTGGCCCCCGATGAATGAGACTTTAGAAGATTGTTGACGAGAACAACCCGTTGTTTTTCAAACCATGTCTGTGCCTATTGGCCAATGCTCTGACCAATGAGCGCAACTGACTGTGATGTAGTAAGTGCGATAGATAGGCGGGTGGGGCTAGCTTACTAGGCTAGACCTGCACTGCTTAAAGTAACACAAAGGCAACTTTTTCTATCCAGTTCAAACAGTGTTGCTTGTTACCATAGAAAGCATAAAGGTATATCCTTCTAACATATACAAATCTCGTTGGTACAGAATTGTAGGTCTACATGGGTTAAGTATGCTTCAAAGCCCTGGCAAAATAAATAAACATTAATTTCAACGCTGAGTGTGTGGATACATTTCTTCCTTTTCTTTAATGTTTTGTTTATTTATTTATCATATACTAATTGTGGGGACATACGTCGACTAAAATTGCAAACTAGCTAGCCAGAAACTAAACAGACAGCTGATTGACGATACTGCAACACTGATTAGCAACAGAATGTTGCCCTAAGATAGCGCTGGCAGCTAAAGGATACATATATAGCTAACAAATCACAAACCTCTTCATATAATTTAAAACTCCATAAACCATCAGTTATGGTTACATTGGCGTTTTAAAGGCTTTCGACACAACAGCTACCTTTGCCACAATACATTTTTGATGCTGTGACATGACAGGCTACAGTGCTCTTTGAGTGAAATACCCCCATTTCACTGCTAGATGACAGTAGTTCTTACGTAATATCCCTTTTAAGTAACACCTAACAGCTCAGTGTGATCTGAAACCTAAAGCCAGATCTCTAAAGGTTAACGTGAATAGATGAACAGATCTGATGCAGTTATGCTGAAAAGCTCAAACAGAAACCTCACCAGCTCCAGGTTCTGCTTGTTGCCGTGGTAAGCTGCATAGTGAACAGCACTGTAACCTTTTGAGTTGACCATAGATGGATCAGCGCCATTGTCCAAAAGATGCTCCAAGCAACTGTTAAAGAAAAAGCAGCGTAGAGCAGTTATTCAGCCACTGGTCTGTCACAACCACATTAATATATTTGTAGGTACAATCACCATTGGAGAAAAGAAAGAGTAGAAGAATAAAAAACTCACAAGTAGGACTCCTTTGTCTCATCCTCAGTAATTTGATGGTTCCCAGAATAATGACGATCAGTTCTGCAATACAATTATTAACATTTACTAACAACATGAGCTAAACAATGCTTGGCCTAGAGTGAATAAATACATAACAATAAAAACAAAATACTGTGGCATATAATTTTCCTTAGGCATAGAAATTGTGTTTTGTTAGCCTTATTATAACTCTCTAGGAACTGCAGTTCTCCACCCCCACAGAGCAGAGTTCACATAGTTAAAAGTTATTATTAGGCATTTTAGCAAAGGAGAAAACACTTCACACAAAACATAAATTTATGCTCAGGAACATAACATTTGTGGAGGCTCCAATTTGGATACTGCAGCTCTCATTACAGTAACTATATGAAATCTGGTTTCGCCGTTTTATTTCAGTTTCAGAATATTTTTAAACCCATGCAGTAAAGGGTGATATGGCTTAAAAATCAAATCTGTCTAAGTTTTTCCTACCAAATCCAATTTATCTGTATTTTCCTTTCTTTTTTTCCTCTTACACTTAAAGGTATAGTGGAGGATGTTCTTTTTCCAGGTGGATCATCTGAATAAGTGGTCCTCCTAATTTTCAATCATTTTGGTGATATGTTTACATAACCCCGTCCTATGTGCTTGTCCCTCTTTTCACTTACCGGTGGCGAGTCTGACATAATGGAAAAATTGCGAATCTTCTTTTGGAAAGTAAGCTTGTATGAATGTGCAAACAGCATTTGTTAAACAGAGCGTGCACGCTCTCGCACACGTTTAATAGGCGTTCCCTCTCGGGAGAGGATACAGGGTTCTGCATGTGGATTTTTTTTTTATTATTAGCGAAAATCCTGCACTATACCTTTAAGTTTCATGATAAAAAGGACAAAAGACAACGCTTCCAAAAACTAAGTTTGTCTTCCTCCTCTGGCAAGGGACCTTAAATGAAATGGCAATAAAGTTCAAGCCATGAATTCTGCTTGTAAATAAAGTTTCACAGCAATGAAAATTCAGCACACTACAGGTTTACAACTAAAGGCAACACACAGAGAGACAGTTTATCAGTTATGAGTATACATCGAAGAAACAAAAGTGATGAATTGAGTGTGGAGGAGTGGATTAGTTAAAAAAAAAAATCTTTATTTTACAAAAAACTAAATCTTTATAAACTAAAAATTGATTAATCATTTTAATTGATTAATCCTCCGCCCCTACCATGTGACATTTATGCCCGCAGACTCATTTTAATTTCCTCATACTAGAAATAGTCACTGATTTTATTGAGAGGCAATTAGGAGTTATTTAGGGACATCACTAACCGCTTGGCAATTGAAGGTTTAAAGTTTTTTGTTTTTTTCTTGCTAGAAGTCTCTGACCAGGTTCCCAGTTCCCTCTTCACATATTTTAATACTAGCAAGGCCGGGATGGTTTCCTAAGGCCAATCTATTTCATGTAGTGATAGTTTTCTGCTACATCAGTCAACTTTCATCCAACTAGAAACCAGGGGTCACTTTCTGTACAGATAAAAAAAACAAAAAACAGAGCTACCTTTAGTTGGTCTGTCGCTTTGCATCCCAATTAAATTAAATTCAAACTTGTAGTTCTAACCGAAGAAAAATTAGGAAAATGGCAATGAGCATAAAGAAGCGCAGAGGAAGAGGGTTTAAAACTTTGCAGTGAGCCTGCTGGCATCGAGCAGCAGCTTCTCTCTAGGCAGTACTCAATGCTAATTACTTGGCCCCAATGTTTGCTCTCGGCAAAAATTGTTTGGAAAAGTCAGCCAGATACAAGATCATAGCATCGTGTGAAAACAGAGAAGGGTGCAGCTTTGAGGAGAGGCTTTATTACGCATAAATTTAAATCAGCAGTTTACATTCTTTTGATAAACATGTTTTTGTCAAGATGAGCATTCAAAGCTCTGTTTTATAATAAAAGGACGTAATAAAATAGGATTAGTTTTTTAAAGTTTACAAAAAAATCCAGAATACATTAAAAGTGAAACTTGTTTCGATTACTCGATTACTCCAGCGATTGAATAATCAACTACTAAAACAATCCTTTGTTACAGCCCTAGTTTGCAAGGTACTGCATGAATTTAAGAAATGTGTCCTAAAAAGTCACTGCAGAGTTTAAAATTTGAGTAATCGGGAGGAGGAAACAGATCTCCTTACCTGCTGAAGGCTTGCGAGGCAGCAGAGTAGTGCAGGGGAGTACAGCCAGTCTGGTCTTGTTCATTAACCTCAGCACCAGCATTAACCAGGGACACAGTGCACTGGTACCTCCCATTAGCAGCCGCATAGTGCAATGGTGTCCTACAGAGAGCATGCCAGGGGAAATTAGGCAATCACTTAGAAATGCACCTTGATTTATCAACTTAAGGCAGGATGATGCAAAACTTACCTTCCCATTATGTCTCTCTTGTTCAGATCAGTACCGCTACTTAAGAGTAAGTTCAGACATTCAACATTTCTGTAAAAAAACGTAATTAGAAATGATAAATGTAGACAAATGCATGCGTTTGCTGAAAATTTGCCACTAAGTGGTGTTATTTACCCTCCAGAGGCAGCAGCGTGCAGACAGGTTCTCCCAAAGTTGTCAGGGGTGTTGATGTCAAACCCAGCTGATAGCACATGCTCTTTACTCATAGATGAAACTATACTATACAGCTGACCTGCAGTGACATCAAACAGATCATTTGAATGGGGGAAAAACACAAACATAAACAACTGTGTGCAATCAGGTGAACACATCTATAAAACAAACCTGAGGAGAGTAACTTGCGACAACAGTCCGAAAACCCGTACAGCACAGCTAAGTGCAAGGGGAACATTCCATGGATCCCACGTCTAAGAAACAAAGAACAAAGGAAAATAAAACAGCTTCAGCAGAACTGACCTGCTTAAAACACTCTACACCAACTTAATCTAAACAAGAACTTAAAATAAAAACAGCATTGTTCCTATACCTGGCCGTGTCTGCTCCATTGGTCATCAGAGTGCTTATCAGCAGTTCATGGCCATACTTAGCAGCGACGTGGAGGGGGGTATTGCCATATTTATCCACACAATCAATTTCCCCACCTAATGCAAACCCCAAAAAAAGAGAAAGAGCATTAATTACACAGCAGAAAAGAAAACACGGTGAGAGTTCTTTGAATTTAGTGAGATCGTTAAGTCCCAGTTACCATTTTGGATGAGGATCTGAGAACGCGTGAAGCGTCCATGAATGGCTGCCATGTGCAGGGGGCTCTTTCCTTCTTTGCTCTGATGAGAGAAAAACAAATATCATTACTATCCAAGTTTTGTGGTTTTACTGTGTGTGAGAATGATCAACTGTTTTACATGGAAATATTAGACATATTTCATTCATACTACTCCACCAGAACTTAATTAACCTGAATATTTTATTACTTTTGCACAGAATGTAAAACATTCACTTGGAACTAGGGATGTCCCGATTAGAGCTGAAATAATCAACCGGATTAATTGATAATTGAAATAATCGTCAACTATTTTAGTAATTGATTAATAGTTTAATGGAGTACAGAGACTCTAAAACATGACAGACCAGCTGTGAATTTTGGAAGGACTGCATTTTTCAGCAACATCAAAGACTGCAACAATATTAAAAATAGAACTGCTTCTGTTTTACCGCTATACTGTAAAAACTACATTTAAAAAGACACTATTTTTGTGAGGTTTACAAAAATATTTAATAATATTTATTTTTTTTCTTCATCTTTCAACTGGAAAAAAAACAAATAGGACACGAGATCTGCTGTGATAAAGTAAGACGACACAATCTGTTGGCTAAAGATCTCGTCAACCTCTCTGTTTGGAGTTGAGTCTGTAGATATATTGCAGGGTTGGTCTTTGCCTGAATAGGTCAACTTGCTTCTTTTCATACCTGCTGGTTGACGTCGGCCCCATTGTTGACCAGCAACTCTAAACACAGGGCACCATTGGTGGAGACGGCAGCCAGGTGCAGAGGGGTGAAGCCACACTTGTTGGGCTGGTTGACGTTAGCTCCATGGTTCACCAGTTCAGTGGCCACAGCTTCCTGCCCCATGTAGCAGGCCACATGGAGCGCGGTGTTTCCAAAGCCATTGGGTTCATCAATCTGACCATGAAACAAAAAAAATCATCTCAGGGAAGCTCCTAAAAGAATTTAAAAGAGCTGACCAGCCTTAACAGGTGCTTTCAACAGAAAAGCCTATCCAATCCCTCACCTCTGTTCCCATCCTCAGAAGGTACTTTACAATTTCGATGTGACAGCTTGCAGAAGCAGCATGGAGAGGTGTATAACCCAGCTTATCCTTGCAGCTCTTGTCAGCGCCACGGGATACCAGCATTTTCACAACCTCCAAGTGTCCTGTAAAAAACATCGAAACAACAATTATCAACAGTAAGTCTACAGAAAGCAACATCTTCAGAAAAGCCTGTTTAACATATTAACTGCAGTCTCTTTCACATCAAAAATTTACTTGCATGTTATTTTTGTTTATTTTTAGATAAAACTAATGGTAAAAATAAATTAGATTAACTTTATTGTACCTAAAGACATTTGATTTCAGTACAGACTCTGGCTGCTACATAGTCCAAACTATGTGTCACACTGCATTTACACATAAAAACACAGCTATAGAAATTTCATTATAAGACAATAAATAAAAACATAAGCAACATCTGGGATGCAGTACTGACAAACTATTTTTATTACCCAAAAAAGCAGCACAATGAATAGGTTGTCTCTCCTTCTTATCAATGGCACTCAGGTTGGCTCCTTTGTTCAGCAGCAGCTTCACCATCTAGACAAGAGTTTCAATTAATGTAACAAGGAGAAATTAACAGAATTTTCTTAAACTGTAAAGAATAACTCTAGGGGTTAATATATTAGGGCTGAAACAATTAATCCAATTAATAGATTATTTAAAAAAAATAAACAACTTCAACCAATTTAGTAATCGATTAATCACTAAATGTCATAGAGACGCTAAAACATGTTTTTAGCTGATAGAGAGGCAATTATACCAAGATTGTAGTTTTTTCATCTGCCAATATGCTCTATCCAGAATACACATGGAAAAGCTTTACTTTGACCTGATTTAATTCTGTAAATTTCAGGAAACTTTTTTATCTGATTATTAGTCGATTATTCAAAAAATAAATAATTGACAGATTAACCAACTACTAAAATAATCGTTGGTTCCAACCCTAATAATAATCCATGCAGTCACACCTCTTGGAAACCGCTCTCTGTCGCATGGTGCAGGGCTGTCCGACCAGTGCGATCTGCCATGTTCAAGTTGCTCAGCTGGGTCAGCAGAGCCTCAGCGCAGCGAGTGGCCCGGTTGGACGCAGCCACATGTAGCGGCGTCTGCCAGAACTTGTCTCTCGTGTTTGCCTCAGCTCCGCGCCTCAGCAGAAGACCCACCGCCCTCTGAAAAGAAACCAAGTTTAAATAAAAAATTTTACGGTTGCAGCTCTCATTAGTTTTAAGAGAATTATTTTATGCAGTTATTATACATCAATATATTTTTAGCTGTAATATTATAATAGTTTAGTAGTAGTAGCAAACGTCACTGCTGTTCTGTTCACAATTTGTGAGTTCTGAAACTTGCAATATTTCATGTAATTACATACTTTAGAACTCTAATAAACATAAGTAATAGAAAACAAATGTGTTGGATGCAGCATGTAATACAAACATAATAAGACATAATAAGTCAAAACAATACTCTTCACATACTTCATTCCTTGAAGCAGCCGCCCTGTGCAATGGGGTCAACCAAACGTTGTCTTTAGCATTTACGCTGGCACCTGAAAGACATGCAAAAACATCTGTTATTAGAAAAGTTCACACTTATCTACTAATAACATACCCTTTTTGTTGCTCTAGAAACTTATTTTTTCTTTGTTCTTAAAATAGCATTCTAGTCATTTATGGAGTTCTATAAAAATGTGCAAAAAAGACATATTTGGATTCAAAGGTAGTTGATAATTTCCCTGTCCTACAGTGGATGCTGGTTGAAAACACACAGCAAACAAAATTGCCAGCAAATACAAAAAGTAATGCACAAATTAAAATAAGACCAAGACACAATGAATGCCATGTAAAAACGTTGCAAAGGAGAAATGTTACAATCACAAAAAATGCGAATGTGCTGTAAACACATATGATACCAACACACTAAACATTCAATTCAATTCAGTTTATTTAAACAGTGCAGATTCAAAACGCATGTAATGTCAAGGCACTTTACAGTTCAATTCAGTTTATTTCTATAGCGCCAATTCACGACATGTCATCTCAAGGAACTTTACAGTTCACCAGATCATACAGTCAAATTGATTCAAAGTTTTCCATCTAAGGAAAACCAGTTGATTGCAACGACTCATCGAGTCAAAGGCAATCCCTCACACTAAACATGCTTGTAGCCAAAATGGTATGTAATGGAAATATGTAATTAAGAAAAGCTGCTGGCTATTTTTGAATAACACAAGTGCTCCAGACCACTAGGGGGAGACAATCATCAAGTCTAAAAACTTTGGTATAAATCAACCTCTGTTCTAATTCAGTAGCAGCATTACTTTTTATTTAAGTCTTAAAAGGTCCCGCTCCATGTTGCGTGGTGCCTTCAAAGACCTCAAAAACAATAAAGGCAGAAAGTAATCAGCTTTAAACCTGATGCCAGGCTCGCACTGACTATGGTGTGTGCGCCAGCAAAGGAACCACACCCTTGAAAGCAGTGTGTACACTGATGTTAGAAGAGAGGCAGTTACTGAGTACAAATGTTTCAGCAGGAAGAAAGTTGGGCAAAATGCCACAGAGGCCCCAGAATTAGGAATCTGAATTTCATGAGCCAAACAGGAAAAGTCAGGCGCCGCACATGAGAATCCACCTACCAAATTACACCCATTTGATTGACGGAAACACAGCAAAACACCAACATGCTAAAACAGAGGGGATCTTGGTGGGTGAAAAGGTTTTTTTCTGCCAAAATAAGGCTTTGCCCAAGAACTCCCGGAAATAAGTGAGAAACATTGTGAACTGCTGTCTTTGCAAGTGGCATTTCCCCCGAACCGAGATGTAGCTGGACGGGGCTGAGGTGTTTTCATCTTCATTATTAACCAGGCAATGTCAAAAATTAAACACGACATGCATTTAGTTGTCTGTATTTTTATCTCTTTTTTTTAAAAGAAATTAGGATAAGCGATGTTCCTTTGGAATATAAAAACTACAAGAAGTACCTGTGTAAAAAGTACTAAAATGAAAAATCCAATTTATAATAATAAAATGACATTTTTTTATCCACAAAATTGAGGATACATTTATTATTGTTCTCTGGAACCAAACTATTAGCTCCAATTTGTTTATTTATTTATTTTTAGCTTATTTAAACCTTAAGAGATTTCAACAGGTGTAGTGGTAGGAATATGCTAAAGATGACCTCATTTTTCCATCTCCGGATATACCCTCAGCACATAAAATGTATGTAAACAAAAATTGTTGTCTTGAAGCCTAACTTCTATCTAAGCCAAGATTTATTAAATAACAAATAAAAGACTAAAATGCTCCAAAGATTAACATTACAACATAATCTTACTGAATGAAGTGTTTTTTACTTCCAAGCAGAAGTTTAAACATGCAGATATGTCAAACGAGGTGCCGAGAATAAGATGTCTTCTCAGGAAGACAAGGGAGTAAATTCCCCTGATTGGCTGAAAGCTGCTGAGGTTAGCAACCCTAGCTCAGAAAAAAAGTCTGAGATCTTTTAAATTAAGTGGAATATTGATAATCCGAGAAGCTATCTGATTTGAGAAACCAACAGTCCAAATACCAAACATTTGAGTCGCAGAGAGTTATATTGGTCAGCCGCATTTACAGGAGTCTATGGAGGAATGGGGGATTGGGACAGCCTATATCAAAGCATTTGCATCAGTCTGCAAATGCTGCCTTCAAAGGAAGTCTGTAGACCAGATCCTGAGGAAAAACAAACAGAACGCCCAACCAGAAGACATTTGGACAGAAGAATGAACAGGTGCGTTTTTCTGTGAATCGTTATTTAACACATTACCCCCCTGAGAATCTCGCTTATGACTTTAGTGAAGGTCTGGTCCCAAACAGGTTGGCAATCATCTCCCCCTAGCGGCCTGGATCACTTCCATTACACTGTCACACTTTATAACTTGCAGTTTGTTTGTTTGTTTTTTTTTTTTTTGTTACCAACAGTGTTTTCCTATTTGCATGTGTTTAGTGTGTTTGCATCATCTATGTATTAGCACCAGGTTTTGTATTTGCATTGCAGCTCCATTTTCTGTATTAGCAACATTTCTTTTCTGCATGTGTTTTATTTAAGCTTTTTTTTTTTTTTGCAAGTCTCATTTTTTGGGTGTATGCATTGCTTTTCCTATTTCCCACTCAATGTTATAGTGCATTGGCACATCTCAGCCTTCCTACCAACCTCTTAGAAAGGGAGGGGTGAAGGAAACAAGGGTTAAAATAAATGGGATTAAGTCTTACATAGTATATATCCTGTTTGACTTAACGAGCACCAGGCTATTTCTATAATAAATGCAGAAGAGTCACCTGATTCAATGAGGAGGTCCATAATTTGGACATCACCCACACAGGCAGCAGCATGAAGTGGTGTGCGGCGCTCTTGGTCCTAAAAAAATAAATACATGAAATATGTTGCATAAAGAGTTTAATGTGCATTTTTATATATATGCATTAAGACTACATACCAGTGCATTGACATCTTCTTTTCTGTGCAATAACAGTTGAACTTCTTCAGTATTACGACTGAAGATGGCCTGGACCAGAGGAGGCTGAAACAGATAAAAGGTCGCCTGAGTTACATGCAAAACGATGCACAAAACGAAATAAATAAATCAAAGAAATTTAGTGCAAAAACAACCCTATAACTAATCCAGATCAATGCCCTAGAATACGCGCATCCTTCGTAGCGCTACGGTCTAACTCAGAGGCTCCTCGTTTTTAGAAGAAAATGGTTAAAGATATTAGCATGACGGTAAAACTATAGTTAAAGAAAATAACCATATTAAATTAAATATGGAGTTTATTATTTTTATTGCTTTTATTATTAGGATGGACCAAGCCCTGGTCGAGGCCTACAGGCCCCATTCGCTGCTATTACGTCAGCTAGCTAAACGGCTAATGCTAATATGCAGCTACGGAGCTGGCCCCGGACCAAACTACGGTCCATGTACCGCTTCCTAACACACAAACGTTACCTTTCATCAAAAAATAAATGGAATATTTTCCTCAAAAGGCGCAAACCTAATAAAATATGCACGCAGCAAATAAAAACATACAAGAGCACTGGAAGCAGTTCGGCGAAGACGTAGCATGTTGCGCACTAGAGCAGGTTCATTCCAGCAAATAGACTGCGCCACAACACAAACACGGAGCGCTTTCGCTTCAGCCTACCTGGTCTGTGATGTTAAGTACTCCCATCTCCCAACTCAGCCAGGACGGAGCTCCTTCATGAGGATAAAACTTCGAGGTAAAGCTGCAGTGCAATTAGTATTTCAAACTCATCAGACTACACCCATAACTGAAAGCAAAAAAAAGAAATGCGGTCTTTCTCACTCGGTCTGTCACTGTTGTTGTCTGTACCCTGCGTCTGGTCTGACGAAGGCGGTGGTCCGCCTACAGGCGTGGCGGTCCGCTTTCTGCTTTCGAGATTGAAATGTCGACCCCTTGTGGCAACAAAGGGTAAAACATACGCAAGAACGCAATAAATATTCTGAAGGTCAATGAGACCTTTGATACTTTTGGAGAACACAAACAGCCCTTTTCCATTAGTACAGACTTAGACTAAAATAGTGATTTAAAAAAAGCAAAGTACATATACTAGAAATATGATACAGAAAACTTAAAGCTGGATTCATATCTAAGACAATCTTTTGTAAATCAATTTGTTAGGATGTATGTATGTATGTATGTATGTATGTATGTATGTATGTATGTATGTATGTATGTATGTATGTATGTATGTATGTATGTATGTATGTATGTATGTATGTATGTATGTATGTATGTATGTATGTATGGATGGATGGATGGATGGATGGATGGATGGATGGATGGATGGATGGATGGATGGATGGATGGATGGATGGATGGATGGAGGAATGGATGGATCAGGTGGTTCCCATCTCAGGTTTTTCTCTGAAATGGTAAAATTAAGGTGAAAGCTTCAGTCATATTGAGACAGGATCACGGTTTTCATCTGCTAATTGTTATTTTGAACCAGCTTCTTAAATCATACTAACCTTTGTTACAGCTGAATGATCCGTTTTACATAAGCTCTAATTCTACTTTCACACTGCACGTAACTGAAGCAGCTGTTTTACATGCAAAGTCAATGGTTGACGCACATGGAAAGGTCCTGCAGCTCATCTACAGCAGCATATCTTGACGCATCTGAGCAGGCAAAGCAGCTCCTGAACTTCAGAGCGTGACGCGCTTCACAAGCAGCAGCAGCTTGAGTTGGAAAAATTTTACTTTTGCTGCTTGATGCGCCACATCAACCAATCAGAAAAGCTGATCTGGGAGTTTATCAACACCAAAATTAACTTAAAATGTCTTGCCGGAAAAATATGTGCGCTTTTATCATAAAATGCTAATATCTACTTGGAGATATAATATTATTTCTATATAAGGGAAAAACCCCTAGTTGCTGCTGGGAATTCTCAATGACATCGTTGGTATGTGGGGGTCTGAGCAACTCCTACAGCAAAGTAATATTTTATGGCAGGATCGTAATCTTGATGAATTGACTGCACAGACGAGGTTTTCAGTTGGACTTTCTCACTTAAAAATATATTAAAACTACCTTTTACCAGCTTATACTAGCAAATACAGCAAAGTCACTCTCTGCCATTGAACACAGGAGCAGCACAAGCATCAGATGCTTTTGGACACACCTCACTGGATGCACTTCAGGAGCGTAAAAAGATGCTCATGAAGCATGTCTGACAAGCTTCAGAAATGAAGCAACACGTGGTCTTTTGCTGCCCAAAGCGCGTGCGGTGGGAACTTAGCGTCATTCTCATTTTATTAAAACTGGTAATTGTGGTTGAAATAAGTTAAAAATATGTAATTTCTTAAGTTATGAATGTCGATTGACTTAAAATAAAAATAAATCTCTATTTTATCTTTTAGTAGATATTCATTTAGCAACTAATTATTGCAGTTACTTTTTTCCCATTGTAAAACAACATTCATTTTAGATAAAGTTTAACATTTTTAAGCCAAAAACACAAATTTACAATTGGAATGACATAAAATACTAATTAACCTAAATGACGTGGAAATTTCTCTCCATTCAGTGAAGGGCCGCAAGTAGCTCTTTGGTTCTGCGGTTCACTTGATATATTTAAAATGATAAATTATTGTGAGATGTCATACCGTAATCTCAAACATCATGTTTTAAACACCCAATCCCCAAGTAGGTAACATAAACAAATAACTGAAAACACTGGTAATTAATTAATATGTGTTTCAACAAACTTATTGAAAATATTTAAACTCACTAAACAGGTCTGTAATATTCTTCCTGAATTTTTGCTCTGCCATGTTAACATTGAAGACAATATTATTTATCAGTCTTTTATAGGTGGTTTGCAATGTTTAAACCTCAGACATATTTTAAGATCAGTTTTTATTAGTATTTTAAGTCTTGTTTTAATGAAATAATAAACAATAGACATTATTCATTCTTTGCACTGTTTTTGCACAATATCACTATTACTTTATTTGGATCTATAGTTATACATATAAATATATATAAAGTTATATTTGTATATATATATATATATATATATATATATATATATATATATATATATATATATATAATTATTATATATATATATATATATATATTATATATATATATATATATTATATATATATATATATATATATATATATATATATATATATATATATATATATATATATATATATATATATATATATATATATATATATATATATATATATATATATATATATATATATATATATATATATATATATGTTTGTATATCTGGAGCGTGTAACAAAAGTAATTTCCCTTTGGGATTATTAAAGCGTGTCTGAGTCAGTCCGAGTCTGTTATTTGAAGAGTAAAATATCCCTGTTTTTTCACCTCCAGTCCAGTAGGGGACAGCACATTTTAGCTGAGGCGCTGGCTCCTCTCTCACTGAAATAAGGAACAGTCTGTCCCGTCACCGGCGTTTTATTTAGCAGCAGAAGGTCGTCAGCAGCTGGACGGAATTAATCGGAAAAATCAGGGCAAAATTAGATGAGAGAATCTATATGTGTTGATAATTGGGGCCGTAAACCCGGGGTGATGGGAGTATAAGGGAAAGCGAAAACCGAAAGCCACACTTCGCGTTTTATCCGGTTGTTATGAAACCTCGCTAGCCCCCCGTTAGCCACTGACTACCATCGCAGTTTGGATCGGAGCTTTTGAAAAGTGGCCCGAGACGCTGTCAGTTAGTGAAGCAAACTGCTCTAGAAAAAAAAACAGTTTGGAGCGGAACTTTGACTCTTCCCGTCCTCTTCCCTCTCGTTGGACCCTGAAGTCAGGGCTTGGCTGCTCGGATCCAGGATCGTCGCTGTTGAGCGGAGAGCGGCTGGGTTGATGGCAGCCACAGCCGGAGCCCGGAGGTTACCCATGGGTGTGCGGACGTTCAGTGACTTCCTCCACATCGCCACTGTGGGCTCTCCTCGCTCCTGTCGTTCTGCGTTACAAAGAGTATGTCTGAGGCAAAACATAAGGTGAGACTTTTCCAGGAGAAAATCTGGTTGAAACTGGCTTGTTCTAACCGTTTGTTAATGTTATGCTTATCAAAAATTCACTTACCAGTGTTGTTGACACGGCTCTGCCGCTTTTTTCAACCAAACTGTCAGAAATGTCCTATATTCTCCAGTTAAATTATTATAAACATACTATAAAAGCAGAGTTTTGTGATGTATGCAGCCTGTGGAACAAACCATGTGATGTTTTGATGTTCTAACTTTAGAGTGGTCGACTTGCTGGTATGGGACTTTTCTATGGCGGATACTAATACTTAACAATTAGACCAATTGATAGGCTGATATGTTCAATTTTATTTTTTGTATCAAACTTTGTACTTTGTCATTTTTCTCTTTCATTACTTTTTATGCAGTAGTGATCTTTGTTTGTATTTCCCCCCAAAAAACTTTCCAGAAAACACATAAGCCAGTAAGTTTTTCAGTTAATTATTTTAAAAGCTGTCATTTTTTTTAACTTAAGTGACATGATTGATTGCATTTAAAATAAGACCCTTCTGCCTTTTTCATTGGTAAATGAAAGCATGATCTCTTTCTGTCATGTAACCATCAAAAAGCCTACATTTTCAAATAAAACAAAGCAGTTCAATCCTTAGCTTTCACTGTCAAAAGTAACTTTTCATGTTTGACAATAGCTGTCATTTGTAGGAATGTCCCAGTCTCTTATCAATATCAGGCAAAAAACTATGGGATTACATCAGCCTACGCATAAAATCTCCAATATTGGCATGCTGATAGAAGCAATGCTTCTGTCTGAAGTTTATGTGACCTGTTAGTTATAAGTGGGTCAGATGTTGTCATACCATATCATATTGTTCTTTGCTTTTGTTCTCTGTCTGAATGATATCAGTTGATTAAACCTTTTCTAACAATACAAAATAAGTATGTCTGATTCATGCTGATATCTATATCAAAATAGCAATATCGGTGTCGGATATATATTAAAAAAAAAGTTGTATCTGGACATGTTTGTTGCATAACAAATCAGTTTTGTTTGTTTTTACGTTAGATGATAAAATTAACTTTCAGTCTATTTGGCTGTTTTGGGTGAAACAAGATGTTTGAAATTTTCCATTTCCTTAATTGTGATATCTTCCCACTCACTGTGACCTGATTAGACATCAATTGAGGAAATTATAGGCTATATATATTGTCGGCATGCAGAATTCACATCTATTGCATTTCCAATGATTACCTTTGACAACCAAATAAAGGTTAGTTTTGTAATCTGATCTACTTTTAGTAGAAATGATTATTTCAGCCAATACAGAGTTTTATATTTAAGACTATATTTATCAAGGTGTGAAAATGTGAAGTCATTCAACTATTAGTAATAAATGGTTATTATCTTAAAGGTAATAAAGGTAACTTCATTTATGTAACAGAAGTTTTTTATTAAGAATTTACAATTTTTAAAACAGAATAAAATGTTGAACTTTCTTCACCATTTCTGATTAGGTGGTTCACTAAAGCTTCTCTTTTTGTATTTACCCAGATAATGTACCGGTAGGTAGTTACTCTGTCGCTAAGGTTTCCTAACATTACCAAATGCAGCATGTCCCTCAATAGGCCAAAAGCTTTAAAAGATAAAACTGAGACTTTGTGTTTTTTCTAACTATAGACACTTATCAACATGTGGTAGATAATAATTTTTGGCCAGTAGGTCAGATAAAACAGAAATTCTTTAAATTTAGTTCATCAGCTCATTTCTCTTTGCATTTCCTCTAGTCTAAATAAAATGTTTGATTGTCTGTCTGGATTAAATATTAATAACAAATCTGAGGATTTCCGCCTGTGCAAAAATACTTAA